GAGAATAATCTTGATAAATGAGAGGGAAAATTTTGGGGTACAACATATTGCTTCTTACTTTTTGTGACTACTATTTTTCTTCTGATTATTTGATATTTCTGCAAGTCTTCTTTCTGGATCTTAGTTGGTTCTACTTCCTTCAACTTACTTTATGTGATTGCTTGAAACTAATAAAGTCTTCTTTTGGCTTATCACTTCTTATCTTTTTTTGTTACTTCTTATGGTTTTTATGTTTTTCACACATAATTACCCTTTTGATTATAACAAAAAGAGGGAGTAATTAAATGAATGTAATTTTGATTTCAATAATCAAGTTCTGGAAAATGTTATCTGAAAAGAGCTGCTTACATTCTACCAAGTTAAAATTCTGTTTCTGTTAGAATTATTTTCTTTTTCAGGAAATGAGAACTCTGATTAAAGATAAAGATATGAAAGCATTATGCAAGGCTTATGTCTAACCTATTGGCTTCAGACTTGGCTCCAAGAATTAAAATCTGGAATCAAACTCCAAGAATTGAGAATCTGAAAGCTGTCTTAGTGACATTAAAGTTTCAAGATTTTAATTGATTTCATTTTCATTGGCATCTAAAGTCAAGATTCTCAAGATCTCCATATCTGATATATTGGAACCAGAGAAGTTTTTACTCAAATGGTTCAGAGTCAGGATATTCGAGCTTCATCAAGTCATTGACTCAGGGGGAGTTTCATAAAAGGATAAGTATTTCTTGCCTTCTTATTTTCACCTTATTTGATTATATGAACAAAATTGTGTCATCAAAATACATAGTTTTGTCATCATCAAAAAGGGGGAGATTGTTAGAACAAGATTTGGTTCTGCAATACTATCTATGAGTTTTGATGATAGCAAATGAGTATGTTTGTATGAACAAATTTGATACTCTAATATTTGTTATTTTTGAGTATTTAACAAAGAAGTTATGCTTCTAATGGATCGCGTGGCCAAGACATTAGAAGCGAATTAGTTCTGCTTCTGTGCTACACAAGTTCTGATGAATAGTAGCAAGACACTCCAGAAGACTCTGAAGTGTAGGCTCTGATATGAAGTCTAAAGAAACCAGTCAAAAGATCTGAAGACAAAAGTTTCTACTTAAATCCATATGCTAAAGAGTCATGTTTCTAAAGACAACGTATTATAAAGAAACCAGTCAGAAGATCTGAAGACAAAAGTTTCTACTTAAGTCCCGATGCTGAAGACTAATGTTTCTGAAGACAAAGGGTTCTTAAGACCAAGTGCTGAAGATTCTGATAGATGAATTTCTAAAGACTCTGAAGACTTGAAGTTCTAAAGATCCATGGTTCTAAGAAAAGGGTTCTAAAGACCAAGTGCTAAAGACTCTGAAGACAAAAATTCTAAAGACTCTAAAGACTTGAAGTTCTAAACTCTCACGACCAAGTGCTAAAGACTCTGAAGATGCAGTTTTGAAGACTCTGAAGACTTGAAGTTCTGATGACCTTGTGTTATGTTCTCTCTTCTAAACTCATGCTCGCATAAGCCTCTGAAGTGCAGAAGGAAAGAAGATAATGTTAACGTGGTACAAATAGTACATGGTACAATCAACGTTTCATTCCACTGCCATGAAAGGACGAACGCGTTGCACGATCTTGTCCCCCACGTTATTGCTCAAGCTGCCAATATTTTTGGAAATCCCAAGAGTGCCCCTCAATGAATATATTATTTTATTGTCTATATAAAGTCTTGAAGACTAAGAGAGAAAGCGACGAATTTTCACTGAATATCCACTCACAAGCGTTGTTCATTACTTTCATATTTTTAGTCTATTGTTCTTAAAATAGTTTACATATTCAGCTTGTATAGAAGCAATATTATTGTAAATAAAACTTGTATTCAAACAATTATTTAATTTCCTTAAGGGATCGATTAGGTCTGTATCCTTAAGAAGTCTAGGACTAGTGCGTCTTAGAGGTTTAATTTTTCTTAAAGGACCGATTAAGTCTGTATCCTTAAGAAGTTTAGGACTTGTGTGTCTTAGAGGTTGTTAGTCACTTGCGGATAGTTTATGTATTGTAATAGTCAGTTAGATTATTGGATTAAGTCCTCGATTGAGAGAGGCGAAATCACCTTGGCGGATGGACTAGACTAGCTTGATAGTTTTCAAGCGAACTAGTATAAACATTCTATGTTTTTTATTTCCTATTCTTAATTATTGTTTTTATCAAGAGTGAAAGAAAAAGTATTTTAATTAAAGTGGAATATTTTTAAAAGAAAAGTTTTGATTTAAAACCTAATTCAACCTCCCTCTTTATTATTTTTCACACCTTCATAACGCTCCAATTAAATATTTAGTCTTGTTCATTGAATTTGAATTATCTTGGTATTATTAAGGTGAAACTTAGTTTTTGGTGAAATATTAGTCATATTGAATATTGAGGAAAACACTATTATTATTAATAAAAATTATTATTATTAGGTATATAGGGTAATTACCCCTAATAATAATATTATTGTTAATATTACAGTTATTATTATTATTTTATTATTATTATTAGTTAGTATTAGTAATAATAAAATACAATTAGAAGAGAGTTAGATCAATTGGAAAGAATTGTTGCCACGTAGAAATAGAGAAGAGAAGAGAAGGAAAAAAACTAGGGCAAGAGAGATTCCTCTATTGTTGAAGAATCAAAGCTGAAAACTAAGATAAGACGGAGGGGGTAAATGGGTTCTCTAAATGGTGATATTAACATGAGATAGTAGTGAAGGTTTCTTTCCCTCCTTAGGTTTTCATGAATAATTTGATGAATGTTTTCTTGTCTAAATTATGGTATTTCTATGTGATGGTTGTATGGAATTCGTGATTTAATTGATGCTATGAACATGTTGTTGTGGCTGATTTTACTGTTGTTGTGTTGTTCATGAAGCCTCATATCTGGAAAATTATAGATCTAGAAATGTGACAAAAATTAAAGAATTATAGGTAGAAATTATCGTAGAATCATAGGTATGATGAAATTAGATGAAGACTTTATGTTGTTAGGTGTAGAAACACTGTTTTGGAATCAAAATCGGAGGTTGAAGATACTCAAAACGAGTAGAAAGTGAACTAGTGCGATTGTAGAAAATTTTGCGTAGCAGTCTGGTCATACGCGTATGATACATGTATGAAAGACGTCCCAAAGAGTCATATGCGTATAATATGTGCCCCGCCCCTGAGCCAACACAACCAACTGTCTGAACACGTACGAGACACGTATGAGAAGAATGCCATATGCGTATGGACTAGCCAATACGCGTATGGATATCCGGGGAGGGGTTTTGAAGGGGAAAATACCCTCTGGTCATATGCGTATGATACGCGTATGAGGTTGGGATTTGGAGTGAAACGCGTATGATACATGTATGAGATGGACAAGTGAGAAGTCAAACGCGTATGGGCAGACTGATGTGCAAAAAATCCAATTTTTATGATTTCTTTCCCGTTTTCGCGTGAATGCGGTTCCCTTTGATTCTTAAAGACTAGTATGACTTAGATAGAAATAGGAAGACTAATAATAGTAGGGAATGGGATTAGAATATGAAACTTTATTGAATTGCTTAATTTCATTTCATGACGATAATGACGTGGTGGTCTTATTGGTGAATATAGAAGGCTTATGCCTTGTTGTCACATAGTTGTGTTATTGCATGATAGTAATGCATACATTTTATTGGTGAGGACTTATGTCCTGTTGTTGGCCTGTAATGGCATTATGTTGAAGGCTTATGTCATGGTGTTGCCTAAATGATACTATGTTGGGAGCTTATATCCTGATGGTACCACATGCATTGAGTTGATGTCGGTCTCATTACATTACATTATTTTGAGTTGATGATGTATTATGTGAATGATGGATTATGTTGTGAAGTATTGTGTAATGTGTGAATTGTATGGTTACTACTCCTTAGCATATGATATTCACCGTATATTTATTGAATGAAATTCTCATCCCATTTGTGTTGTTGTGTCTGTGCTTCACTGAGAGTACAAATAATCAAGTACCCGAGTAGTGCTTGGAGTGAGTGTCACCTGATCGAGTCTTAGGAGTCGCTCTGATACGTAATACGGGAATTGAGAATTTTGTTATGTTTTTGCATTATTTCATTTGTTACTTATCTTTCATTATACTTATATTGGACTACACATTTGTGAAGTTTTATTTGTTGTTGAGGCTGTAATGCCATGAAATTAAACTAGTTTGATTATTCTGCTGCTGAATCAATTATTTTGAATAAATAAAGTAATAAAGCGACTTTAGACTTTATGAATTTTTGAATTATGTGACATCCCATTTGTGGTCTCTGATATATATTTCGTACATGTTATTATAACTATTATTATGGGAAATTGGAGTGTTACACTTTGGACTATGTTGCAGCAAATCAGTGATAATGGAGAGTTGTTTGTGTTTGTGTTTTTTTCTCTTCTTTTTTGCAGGTATCTGGTTATTTTATGGAGTATCTGAAAAGGGAAAAATAATTATGTTTGAAATCAAGAGGAAGAAACTTCGACTTCTATTTGTCATCGAGTTTCTCAAGTCACTACGCCAAATAAGCTATTTAATAGCGCTTTTTTTAGTTTTTGATAGCGCTTAAAAGTGCTATTAACCGCGCCACTATTGTAAATATTTCTTATTTAATAGCACTTTAAAAGCGCTATTAAAGTACCAATTTATAATAGCGTTTTAATTAAAGTGCTATCAAAGTCAGTATTTTGCATGTTTTTTGTTTGTTTTTTTATAACACTCTAAACAAAAAGCGCTAATATATAACATATGTTTGATAGCGCTTTCAAATAAAGTGCTAATAAATGGTACATATTTGGTACAATATTTTTAATAAGTACAGTACAATATTTTTTCTTACACAATCATTTTTTTTGGTGTAAATATAAAATAACTATATTCAATTCAACACAAATAACGCTTTAAGTTACTCATTGCATATATATTATGATCCATCAAATACCAAATAACATTTTAAATTACCAAATCCTATTGTTTCCAAATATCATAACATATAGAATATTAAGAGGGCGTTTGCATAGCCAAATTTGTAGATGCCCATCTATGAGTACTTCAATCCAAATCCAAAAACATACAATCAAATTCTCTAAACAAAACACCAAAGAACCCATCTGGCTGGCTCTCCGAAATGACATAACCTTGTGAGAAGTTCTGGCAACTAGATGTGTCTGGTTGTCTAGAACTGAACCCCTCATTTCTTGAGCCTTTTTCTGAGCGGATCTCAGTTTGTTCATAATCTTGTCCATGGAAGATGCTCGCTTCTTTTCTAACTTCATCTGAAATAACAAAAAATGGTGAGATCATAATCTTTCTTATGTAACTATTCTCCTTTATTCTGAGTAATACTGTTTAGGGAGAAAGGAATTCGTAATGCATGTGGCTGTGAAATGATTTAACAAAAATGTAATACATACATCATGTTAGATTTGTTTATGATGAAGTAAAAACTATTAAGACATTTGCAATCCTATTAGACAGCCCAAAATTAAACTTAGGGAAAAAGGGAAATAATTCAGCACCCAAAAATAAAGAAAACAAGGGAGAATTCCAAAGTGAAAATAATATATTCATATGAAACAACAATAATTGCTTGGATGATTAATTAGCTAGCAAATTTTCGTATATAAAAATCACTTCAAGCGGTTACTTTTGTTTTAGAATTAACATTTGGGAGGAATTTCATATTGACACTCTCCTACTAAAGAAAATGCAAGGGATTAACCTCAAGTTTCCGTATTGCTGCCTCAGCTTTCGCCTTTTGCAAGTTCTCCCATGCAGTGATTTTGGCTTCCTCCCTTTTAGCCCTGGACAAGTAAAAATACTGGCATTTAAAAGCAATGTAAAGTTTGCAAAAATATTTCTTAGTAATAAAAATGATGAGTTCTCTCAGAAGGTATACAACTGTCTGATCAAATACTTCAAGATTCTATTTTCTAGTTTGAATTGGATAGGATGGATGGTCGATCTGTGTCACATTTGAAAGGTAATAGAGATTACTAACATCTGCACACTAAGAATTGCAATTAAATCATGTCATTGCCAATAACATAGAAAATTTAGTGAACTGATCACCATAAATACTACGAAATCCCATTATTGTGGTACCATCATAAACTATAATTTCAAGGTAGCTCACTGCAGTTAGTCAAGAGTAGAGTGAGAAGGGGGTGTAACTTCAAAAGGAAAACTTCACTTCTAGTTAGCAAATTCTTTTTATGACATTAATTTCAATTTAAAGTTGTTCTGAAGTGTTCTCCTTTATTTACCAGATAAATAAATTGAACAAAACAGATGCAACACAAAACTAAACGTACTTTGAAATAGTCTTTGAGCTTTCAGAAATTTCCCAAGATGTAGATCGAGTGCTTGTTTCTTTCTTTTTCCAGCTGTCGACACTCTCTGAACCTCTACCAATGAATAAAGCCCTGTGTTTCTTGGACCACCTTGTCATTGTTACACGTTCATCTACCTGCACATCCCTGATATCCATTTTAGAGAGAGAGGCACTCTGCAACTCAGTGACAGGCATGGCAGGGGGTGTGGAAGCAGAGAAAGAAGTCCTCCTATTGGGAGTGGAGCATGAACTTCCCTCTGGGCTCATCTGGGTAGCCATGTCCCTCCTTGAAACAGCAGGAGATACATTGGTGCCTGCATCCTTGAAACTATCGAACTTTTCCTCTGTAAATTGGAAACAATGTGAAAAGGAAAAAAAAAGAAGGTTATATCATGTGCATAAAAGTTTTGTTTCAAAATGACACAATACTAGTATGATATGTCATCTAAGTAGTTATAATATCATTACGCACAATATTTTAAAGACACGGATTTACTGCAGTCAATAACCAACGCAGTCAGCAAATCTAAATGCTTACCATAGATCCAATAGCTCACATTCTGACTTCATCAAATCAGATTCGAAGCACAAGCTCAGAATGTGAGCTGTCCGATTTCCAACATAAGACTCTGCTTTATTGAATGCAGTAACAATGTTGTTTTTTTATCACAGCATATTCAAATTCTAAACCATCAATGTAATCATCATTTGGGTCATCTTAAGAAACCAAGAGTTACATCCACAACACTGTGCAGCAGTAGTTAAAGAAGAATGACAAAGTATGAAGAGTTCAGAAAAGAAGGTTGATGAACTCATTTAGATGAAACATGTGATCTTACTACCCTAGTATTGATTGCACACAGACAAAGACATTTCTCAAGCTCAAGCATAGCTTAACTAACAAACTACATCAAAATCACAACTCAAAACTAGATAAGGTAAAATTCGATCAAGGGATATAATATATGAACTTATTTAACTGAAACATGTGATCTCAAGGATTACATATACACAGACAAAGACATTTCTCAAGCTCAAGCATAACTAAACTAAAGAATACATTGAAATTAAAACTCAGAACTAGATAAGGTAAAATTCGATCAAGGGATATAATATATAGTAGTATAGCATAACAACCTCGGGCAGGAACTGACGACTGGCCCTGCATCTGAGAGCAGCCATGTACACTAACTGAGCGAGCCATACAAGGATCCGTCCGTGCAGGAAGCACTCCACCATTGCCCCCAGAACTATTTGTAAACCCAACAGATGAAGCATTAACAGCAGCAGAAAAAGGTGAAGCTGACATAAAACCCCCTCCATCAAAATAATGACCTGCAGGTGAATACAACGACGCAACACCAGGTGGACCAAGAGGACCACTCTTCGACTTTGGCCTCCTCAGTGGCTGTGGAACCAAAGCCCTTCCAGCTGTATCCCCCGAAACAGGACTCAAAATCCACCTCTCAGCATCTTCCCACTTAGACGGCAACGTTCTCCCATTGCTTAAACACAATGCAGCCGGACCATTACCAACTTGCTTGCGGACCCCACTCAAAGGAACTCTCTCAGAACTCCAACCCTTCTGCATTGCAACACCACCTTGACAGTGACGATAGTTCGGAGTTCCAGGACTTGGAAAACTGCCAGTTCCAGTTCCGGTACCGGTACCAGATTTCCGAGACGCAAGCGTACTCTTCTTCATAGCTCCAATTCCCAAACGAGGTGAAGAAACAGCTCCAATAGCATTGTTGGCAGCCACTATAAAATATTTACATGCCAACCGCACATCTCTTTTCACTCCAATCCCCTTGAGAAACATGACACCTAGGTTATAATGGCCACCAACCTCGTCATTTTCAGCAGCCTTTTCAAAATACTCTTTTGCCTGTAATTCAGAAAAAGATATCATAAATTAAGCATAGACATACATAGACACACAATACCACCGATAAAGTGTGTCCCCATTCCATTCCCCAAAAATTTGAAGTCCATACAAACACAAAAAAGGCAAAGATGATCATACTTTAGTGTAATTTTTGCTGTCGACTCCATAGCCTTTGACATACAAATAACCAATCCCATTATAAGCAGAGTAGAGGTGATGCTTAGATGCTAGAGTAAGCCATTCAAAGGCTTTTGTATAGTTCCTCTCAACACCGGCTCCCCTGGCATATATCTCTCCGAGAAGCTCCATGGAGCGAGGCTCTCCCTTCTCCACTGCCTTCAAGAACCACGAAAGTGCCTTAGAATGGTCACGCCTCAATCCACGTAGCCCAAAGTAGTAAAAGAGTCCCACTTTGTACATAGCAGCAGCATTCCCTTTCTGTGCCTGATACTCGAGAATCTGAAAATCCTCATCCTCTTCCCCTTTAGATTTTCTAAGTGCCTCTTTGTTCTCTTCAGCTCCATTGTGTAGCCTAATAGGTTCAATGACGGGAGAATCTTTGGAAATGAGAAAACCATTGACAGCCACTTCTGCTAATTCAGCATAAAGCTTAACCGATTTATCAAACATCTACAACCATTCCAACATAATAAAAAACCCTAACATTATAATAGAATAGAATATAGAAGTTTATATATTAGGAAAAACAAGTGAACTCACATCTTGACGAGTGTAGGTATAAGCAAGAGCCATTTTGGATTGCATATTGCCACCATCTGAAGCAAAATGATGATAAACAAATGCTTTCTGTTTACTCCTCTCTCTCAAAAGCCCCATTCCCCACAAAAACCCTAACACTGATTGTGCCGCCGGGTAACCAGACTCTGCAGCCGTCTCAATCTCACCAGAGCCTTCTTCGATTAGCCTCGCGTCTCCTGTCATAAGCTTGGTCACGGCGGAGTAGTAGAGAGCCTCCGTATCGGATTGAGGTTGAGGTTGCGGTTGGGTGGAGGTTGGTTCGAAGATTTGGCGCCATGATCCAGGGTCGAGATCCTCTTCGGATTTGTGAGAGTCGGAGTCGCCGAACTCGTCCCACTCGGGGGAGGAATCGGGATCGGAAGGGGGTTCGTCTTTGAAGTCTTCTTGGGAGAGGACGAGGACGTAGGGGCGGGCGGTGACGGAGAGAGTGAGGAGAGAGAAACAGAGGAGAGAGATGAATAATTTGGCGGTGGGCATTGCTGTGTTGAAAAATCACAGTCACAGCAATTGAAATTCAGAAATAATATAGAAATTTGGAATGAGAAGAACAAGAATGAAGGATAGTGAATGTAAATGGATGAAATGTCGAGGATAGTCAAATAATAGCGTTTTATACAAAATGCTATCTTAAAGAAGTTTAATAATAGCGTTCTGGTACAAAGTGCTATCATAATTACATAGTCTGTATTATATAATAGTGCCCGATTAAAAAGTGCTATTATAAATGTGTTTTTTCCATTTTAATAGCATTTTTTTTAAAAGTGCTATTAAATTAGGTGATACAAAAAATCATTTTTGGCGTAGTGAGTGTTGACAGGTTAGAGGGAGTCTCATCAGCATCATATCAATAATCAGACTATCAATTCTTCGCTAGATAATTCCAGATGGAGCAAATCGTCGAAGAGTCGCCTTAAGTGTAATATTGATGCATCCATTAGAGATGATGCGAGTCAGTTCATTACATTCCAGACAAATTGGTTTTCGCCATGTAATAATGTTGTTATTGAAAAAGCTCTAGGTCTCATGTCAGCCTTAAAGTGAGTTCATGAAATGAGGTATGATGATATGGATTTTAAATTAAATGCTAAGCGGGTTGTGGACAATGTGACAAATCCAAAACGCAACTACTCGGATTTCGGCACTATTGTTAGCGAATATAACCGGTTGATAGCTCTTTTCTTTAAAAACTCTCATGTTAAATTCGTTAGAATATAAACTAATGAAGTTGCTCATACTCTAACAAGAGTAACTCTATCTTTTACTAATTTTCATATCTTCGATGATATACCAACATATATCTAAAATATTATTATTAATGAAAGAGTTAATCTTTTCTCATAAAAAAATATCTTTAAAATGATTCTAAAAAATAATATCAATATCAATGGTAATCAAAGACATTCTTTAAAAAGTAATTAAAATTAACAATTCAATCCTCATATTCACGAGAAGTAATTGTCAATAAATATACTTTCCGTTAACGTCTATTAGTGGAGTTCAATCATAAACAAAGACTAAAAAAAGACAAATAAATAGAGCAAGGCCAAAGTCTATAAATATGTAGCCCTTATTTTTCTCTAGCTACAAATTTTCAAGCATAGCCAAGTTAACCACCTTAGAAACATTCCTACAAGCTACTTATCCCTGTCAATAAGCTACTAAGCTACCAGAGTCTCATCAATCACCATGGCACCACCAAGCATAACCAAAACTGCAACCCTCCAAGACGTAATAAGCACCATCGATATTGGTAATGGTAACTCATCCTTATTCTCCATAACCTTAGACCAATCACGTAACTTCCTTGCAAATGGCCACCCTTTCCTCACCCAAGTCCCACCTAACATAACAACAACAACAACAACCACTGCTTCCTCTTTTCTCAATCTCAAATCCAACAAAGATACCATTCCCAACAACAACAACACCATGTTGTTGCAACAAGGTTGTTTCGTTGGTTTCAACTCCACCGAACCCAAAAGCCATCACGTAGTTCCACTCGGCAAACTAAAAGGAATCAAATTCATGAGCATATTCCGGTTCAAAGTTTGGTGGACAACTCACTGGGTCGGAACAAACGGACAGGAACTACAACACGAAACACAAATGTTAATCCTGGACAAAAACGACTCCCTCGGACGACCCTATGTCTTACTCCTCCCAATCCTAGAAAACACCTTCCGAACCTCACTCCAACCCGGTCTCAACGATCACATAGGCATGTCCGTCGAAAGCGGTTCAACACATGTCACCGGGTCAACCTTCAAAGCATGTCTTTACATCCATCTCAGTAACGACCCATACAGTTTACTAAAAGAAGCAGTTAAAGTAATCCAAACTCAGTTAGGAACATTCAAGACTCTTGAAGAAAAAACAGCACCTAGTATTATAGACAAATTCGGTTGGTGCACGTGGGATGCTTTTTACTTGAAGGTTCATCCAAAAGGTGTATGGGAAGGTGTAAAGTCTCTCACAGACGGTGGTTGTCCTCCCGGTTTCGTCATAATCGACGACGGTTGGCAATCCATTTGTCATGACGATGACGATGAAGATGATTCAGGAATGAACCGAACCTCAGCCGGGGAACAAATGCCATGCAGACTTGTAAAATACGAAGAGAATTCAAAATTTAGAGAATATGAGAATCCTGAAAATGGAGGGAAGAAAGGTTTGGGTGGTTTTGTGAGGGATTTGAAGGAAGAGTTTGGGAGTGTGGAGAGTGTTTATGTTTGGCATGCGCTTTGTGGGTATTGGGGCGGGGTTAGGCCTGGAGTGCATGGGATGCCGAAAGCTAGGGTTGTTGTTCCGAAGGTGTCTCAGGGGTTGAAGATGACGATGGAGGATTTGGCGGTGGATAAGATTGTTGAGAACGGTGTGGGGCTAGTGCCGCCAGATTTTGCACATGAGATGTTTGATGGGCTTCACTCTCATTTGGAGTCGGCGGGAATTGACGGTGTTAAAGTTGATGTTATCCATGTAAGTCTTCTAAAATTCTCTACTTATTTCTTATGTTGTTGTTGTGGTCCTAAAATATGATTTTACTCGGTGATGAAAAGGTTTACTACACTTTGCAAATTTTGGTTACATTTGTTTTGTTTTAGGTTGCAATTATTGTTTTACACGACAATGCAACTACGGATACAATTAACTTGGGTTTTTTAGCGGTGGTTTTTTCAATTATATTTTTGTCTACTAGTTTGTGATATCATCACGATGGTGTTAGTCTAATTAATTAGTACAGTGTATATGTGCCAGCTATGCTTTGAATTTGAAAGCCAATTGTCTTGGGTAGAAATTGGGTGTTGTGGAAAGTGTCTCCTTTGCCACGTGTACCCTCTCTAAGGGCACACATGGTAAGTATATGAGGACCTTTGCCAAATTGGGATCACAGTCTTCTAGTCCTTAGTATTGGCATACATGCATTATTTTTTATAACTGATAAATTGCATAGTATATCAGAAATTTTAACTCTCTTTTACTGTATTTGTTTTCAGGTGCATTAACTTTTTTTTCTTCAAATTATTATTTTAAATTCTACACAATTAGTTTGATATATAAGAATTTAATTCATTTTACAAAAGTTTTAAAGTGATATATACACTATGTTTGGTTGGAAGAAGTAAAAAAAAAAACTAAGATATTCTTTAATCTTTTAAAAACATTCAAGAGAAACAATTAGGTTTGATTTAAAAATTTATTGATTTTTTTTTAAATTTTAATACAGTTTATTAGTTTAGTTATTACTACTAGTTTACTATATTAATTTATTTTTTAAGTAATTAATGTATATAGTTACAGTTTATTTTTGGCGCAATATAAATTAATGTATTTCTAGTGCCTAATTTAAACAATCACATTTCCTGTTTAAAACAAAGTTTTGTTAAGACTAGAATTTATCACTACAAAAACATAACTTTAAAGTTGAAGAAAAAAATAGAGAAGAAGGTAAAGAACAAACAACTAAAAAATATACTAAAAATAGGAGTTTCTTTTACGCACTTCCTTTATAAAAAAAGGCAAGAGTATTGTTCTTTATTTATAAAAAAAACAAATGAATTCGAGTGTTAGAGGATTGTTCTTCTTTAAAGTAATAAGTGTTATTAATATAATATAATTATAATAAATAAAATTTAAGTTTTTAATAAAGTTAGTAGAATATTGTAAGTAGTGTACAGATAAAGTATATGCGTAGAGCAGTGTCTTTTCACTATTTATCTTTTAATATTAAAAATCAAAATTATATTTTTGATTTTTATCAAAAATATATTTTTAATTTTACATAAGCGTAACTTAAAAAATATGTATACCGGACATATATTTTCGGTTTTCGAAGAATATTTTAAAAATTGAGTTTTTTTTGAAATATGAGGTAGAATAAGAAATTCTGATTGGGTGAACACAACAACTGTTTGAATAAATAAAATATGTGTATATGTGTTATTTTATCATAGAAGATACAATAAAATAAAATGATAAAGTATTTTGAAAATTTTATAAATAAGTTCATGATATTTTATGAATATGTAATAAATTGTTTTTATAAATTCTCTCAAACATTATTATAAATATGTATATTGATATAAAAATTGACATAAATCATTTACATCTATCTTAAGTTAGAAAGAAGTGTGATATCTAATGTTTAAACAAAATTTGGTTTTGTTTGCATTTTGCAGCTGCTTGAGTTACTATCAGAGGAATATGGTGGACGAGTTGAGCTAGCAAGAGCTTATTACAAAGCACTAACCTCATCAGTGAAGAAACATTTCAAAGGCAATGGTGTAATTGCTAGCATGGAGCATTGCAACGACTTCTTTCTCCTCGGCACCGAAGCCATATCCCTCGGACGCGTCGGAGATGATTTTTGGTGCTCTGATCCATCTGGTGATCCAAATGGTACATATTGGCTCCAAGGTTGTCACATGGTACATTGTGCCTACAATAGTTTATGGATGGGAAATTTCATTCAGCCAGATTGGGACATGTTTCAGTCCACTCATCCTTGTGCTGAATTTCATGCCGCCTCAAGAGCCATATCCGGCGGACCAATTTATGTTAGTGACTGTGTTGGTAATCACAATTTCAAGTTGCTCAAATCTCTTGTTTTGCCCGATGGTTCAATCTTGCGTTGTCAACATTACGCACTCCCTACAAGAGATTGCTTGTTTGAAGACCCTTTGCATAATGGCAAAACAATGCTCAAAATTTGGAATCTCAACAAAGTAAGCTTCATCTTAATTTCGTAACTTATATATATTTTTTTGACATATTATAAATGAGGAGCGCATTATATACACACATTATATACACATGTATGTGTCTGTTTGCACGTTAGTATTATATATGATATTGATTTTTTTAATAGTTAATCTAGAATGATTTTACAGTATACAGTTGTTTTGGGTCTTTTCAACTGCCAAGGTGGTGGGTGGTGTCCTGAGACACGGCGAAACAAGAGTGTATCTGAATTTTCACGC